AAAAAAAAAAAAAAAAAAAAGAAAGCAAAGCTCGTTGGGTTGAGCCAAATCTGAAGTCCTGTGGTCCCCAGAGAGGCCTACCTGTGTGGACATCCTTCCCTGGGTAGGGAGAGACGGTTGGGCTATAACTGGTTCATGTGGTGGTAAAGCTGTGAGGGGAAGACCTAAAAACACTGTCCTGGCACAGCCTCACTAAAGGACCTCCGAGTAAGCGGCTTCCCTGAAAGAAGCTGGACGCGCTCTCATCAGGGTGCCGAATCAGATGCCTGGCAGCAGGCAGGCCCGTTTCCAGCTTCCTCGCTGCCTCTGGTTGCCTGCGGCTCCAGCCGGCGCCTTCGAAATGCTTTATTCCCGTGTGTACAGAAAGTATAACCTGGATTCCCTCAGTAAATATCAGTCAAGGAAGTTACGTGAAAAGATTGCTCCAATTCACTCTTGCTGGTGCGACTCCAGGGGTAAAATATTATAGTCCGCGTCTTCTCAGTCATAAGGAAACCATTGTCACTGAATCTCCCTGGGATGCTCCCTACATCTAACCAAACGAAGGGAGCGACAGCCGAGGTTTCCAGATCAAACACAAACGTGTCGTTTTGCTGAGAGATGATGGCCTGAAAGAAAAAGATAATTGAAGTGAAGGTTGAGGGGAGAGCTCGCAGTTCCATATTCGATGCCTATCAGAACGTTTATGTGGGCCTAACAAGCAGTATATTTCCTACAACTTTGGTTCTGCAACTGCTAAAGTCATATATTCCATGCACTGCGTCGGATACCAAAAAATACATGGAAATTTTTTTAAGGCTGTGGGAAATGACCAAATTGTAATCTCAAACCAAGTGCAGGAATATGTAGTCTCCTATTAATAAAGAGACTTTCGCAAGAAGCTCAAAGCTTTGCATCTTTTATGTCTTTCTCAGGGTATCATCATAAGAGGAACATTCTTGCATAACTGCTGGGCCATTTAATGACTTTCTCGGGATGTATCTGGAGGCAGCTGCAGAGCACAACCACGGCGCTCTCCTCCTAGACCTCTGAAAAGATCCAGAAATCTAGCCAGCAGCCTGCCAGGCATTTACAGAAGTTCTAGCACTAGAGCTTTCTCTTTTTTATTACATAGAACCGTAAAGTCACATCATGAGCACTTTTAAGATTTGTGAACGCTGCACAGTATCAACAGTTTAAATCTCGTCATTAACTAGCGGATGAGCACAGAGGGCGGCCGAGCTCAGCCACAGAGCTGGGGGTGGCGAGCCTCTCAGGCAGTACGGATTGAGTGTGACCTGGTCATCAAAGCTCTGTCTGTGTCATGAAACACAAGTCCTCAGCATGGATACATGCCACAGCATAGGTCTGACATTACATGTTATGTGTGCCAGAAAGAATTTCAAAGGGAAATATTTACTGTACATAATTTTAGGCTTATACACTTGTTTGATAACCATTCAGAGTTCTAAGCTACAAACAAGGAAACAAACCTACTTTGGGAGAAGCAGAAAAGAAAATGAAATATATTAGGTAGCTCTCAGAGGGTCAGAGATTCAGGCTTGAAGCTAGATGTCAAATTCCCAAATCAGTCACCCAGCTGTTCCCGCGAAGACCGTAAAGCAGTCGCCGCACCATGCAGTTCACCCAGCTGGCCCCGGCCAGCCCACACTGCTGCCAGGGAGGCCCCGGCCACTGCGCCAAGGCCAAGGCCAGAGGGACTCCAGTACCTGCTCACTCTTGTTGCCTTCTTCCAATTGGAAATCTCATTTCTGTATATCTAACTGCAGAGCCCAGGGCTCAAGCTTGCACCCTGCCTTCAGGGAGGCAAGGAAAACAAATTTCTGGCATCTACCTGGGACAGGACACCCAAGTGCCTGGCCCATATTAAGCCTGCAATAAATATATATTTTTTTTATTATTATTATTTCCGTTTAGGAAGGGCAAGTTTCACTAAAATACAAATTAGGTAGGAAAAATAAAGAAGTCCTACTTCTCTCCCACCACAGATTATCCCAAGGTAATGAAGGCTTAGCTAAGAAAAGAGAAAAAATTGTTTTAAAAATCCTAAGTCTAGTCTGCTACATAGTGGTTTTTTTCTTTTATGGAAAGAAACTACGTAAATATATGTCATTTCCTTCCTATCTGTTCTATATCAGTTGTTACAGATAACTTAGATTTTGTTACGTGACTGTATCACTATTAATTGGGAAAGAAGATATATGTTTTCAAATCAAGGGTTAAGAATTTCTATATGATTACTTCTAAAGTAAATGCAAAAAATCCTCTCACGCAAGTCTTCTCAATAAAGTAAAGGGTAAAAGAAATTTAAAATTCGCTAAAACCAGAAAATAAACCTTTCTAGAAATATATTTTCAATCACTATGTGTAGGAGGAAAAGAAAGCGTTTCAATCGACTCAAGAGATTCCACATTCTCCAGCTGCACAATTTTTATAACAACACATCCTGATCACGCCATTGTTTTTCTCAGCAATTATAAAGAGATTTGGTAATTAAGGTACTTTGCAGCAATAAATCAAAAATAAAGAGTAGAGTGAAAATTTTAAAGATTAATAGACTCTACCTAAAATCTCAAAATTAGAGTGCTCCTACTGGGCTCCGATGCTTCCTTGAGCATGCTACTTGAGTGTGTAACTTGGTCCCCCTAGTTTGCTCACTTGTAAACACAGGTGACCATGTGGATGGAAAAATGGGGTCCTACAGAAGGTAACCTCGAAGGGCGATCTGATCATGATTCCTAACTGGGCAGGTCATGGTAGGTCGTCATGCCCCACACCTATAACTTCTTTAGTAAACCGTTTCTCTTTGCCTTAAGTACAAGCCCTGCCCATTGCTGTGCATCTAGGTTCACACACTTTTGAAACACCAGAAGTGGTGATGGAAGGAGACTTGACTTGGGGTGGTGAACACACAATACAGTGTACAGATGATGTTGTGGAATGGTGCACTTGAAACCTATATAATTTTGTTAACCAATGTCACCCCAATAAATTCTATTATAAATAATTAAGTAAATAAATAAAAGCAAAACAAACAAAAAGAAACACCAGAAGTAATACCTCTGGAAGGGGGTATTAACCCTCAAGACAGCACATAATCTTGTTAACTATCCTGTAATCCGATCCCTGCGTGGCCGCTTCTCACCTTCATGGATCTTCCTTGTTCCCTCCTTAATTTCAGATGCACAAAAGAAGCTGCAAAACTGTTATTCTCTGGAGCATTTAAGATCTTGCTCCCCGGCATGTGCTGTCAGTTTCGCTCCAATAAACTCTTATGAAAATTCTCTACAGGTCTGAACATTTCTTACATCAACAATACTTCAGGGTTGGTACACTAAAGCCCCAGGACCAAGTCTGGAGCCCAGTGGAAGGGGATCAGTGGTGACGATGCTGACACCTCTCCCTCCATTGCACAAGCCCCACGAGGGAGGGGTGATGGGACAGCAGGAGTAGCAGCAACCAAAAACTTTGACAAATGCTAAATTAGAAATATAAGTCATTTGGCCTTGTTTCCAGTGGGAAGGAGCCAAAATTCCCCAGGACTTGGGTAAACTCAGTTCCAAGGCAAAGGTCTGCAAAAAGCAAGACGCAATGTGCCTGCCCAGGACGGGACAGCCCCACAAGGCCACAGTGGCCCCACCAACCAGTGCTCACAGTGATGTGTGCCTTCTGGAGCCCCACAGCCGCCTTCAGTGAGGACAGGAAGTGATAGTTGGCTGAGCTCAAGCGTTTGCTGTCGGTTGACAGGTAAAAGGAAACCACACAGCTTTGCCGTGTACAGTGGCCACATCTGCTCAGCAGCTGAGACACTGGCTCCTGATAGAGGAGAACGGCCTCCCCTGCTTTCATCACAAAAGGCTGGGTACTCTGAGAGCACAGGGGCTCGAGGGAACTCCACGCGTGGACTCTCACCTGCAGAGAAACGAGGCAGAACAAAAGCAGAGAAAAATAGTAGTAATAACTGATGAAAGTCAAAATAACAGTACCCATTAGGAGACTAAGCAACCTGGGTTTAACCTCAGCCTCACCGAGTACTAGTGGTGTAACTAAGCAAGTTACTCGGGTTCTCGAAGTCTCCGTTTCTTCCTTTGCAATATGAGAATAATAACAGCACTAAGTTCACAGGCTGCTGTGAGAATTAAAAGTGATCTGCGGAAGGCACAGTACCTGGGGCATTGTAATTATTCCATAAACATGACCTATGCTCGATGTCCTCTAAACCATAGCTACCCAAGACTTGAGTTTCTACCCTCTCTTTTTACCTAGCATTGTTTTTGATCCAAGTTTGCTTTTCCATATGCATTCTGAATAATTTTACTGACTTCTATTAAAACATACCATTTTTAAAGATTTCTTTTTAATAAAGTTTAAGCTATTTCCTGCTTTCCATGATTATAAACAACCTGACATCTACGTGGCACTTTACAGTTTATAATTCACTTTCATCTAGTTCTTTTATTCACTAACCATAGAAAGCCTTTAAGAAGATAGGTTGGTATCATTTTACAGGTGAGGAAACTGAGTCACCAAGACATTAGGCTTAAGGTCACAGAATAAACAGCAGTTTTACACTGAATGCAGGTATCTGACTCCAAGGACAGCCCATTTTCTACTACAGGCACTAGAAACATTTTGATACATATTAAGTTCTCTTTTCTTTTTCCCAAAAGAAATAGAAACAAATAACTAAAGAAATAATCTAAACTTCTCCATCGCAGAGAGAAAATCCAAGCAACTTACAGTGAGCGTCATGTTATGGTCCGAGTGAAGGTCTGACACCCCGTAGATGAAAAACATGTCTTTATCCTCAAAACCCACAGGCAAGAGCGGAGCGAAGAAATGCCGAGCAAAGTAATGAAGCATTTTCCACCTTCCTCCGTACTCTGAAAGTAGTCAGGAAAGTTAGGAGATGGGCAGGGTCAGCAGTCAGTCATAGCCCGCAGGGCTGGCTGGGTATGATCTGTCATGATTCTAGGGACCGAGCGTGGGAGGGAGGCCCAGAAAGGTCGGGAGCCCACGTTTATTGAGGGCTCTGAGCATTCTGAACATTGCCTCATATTATCCTCACATCTGGGTGAGTCACACATTAACATTTCACTTTTCAAATGATGAACGGAAGCTCAAGCAGTTAAGTCAAACATGCCACAGGCAGTATTTTGGGCCCAGACCTGACTCCTTGCTTCCTGGAGCTCAGTGCACAAAGCTCCTCTTTACCACATACATACACACGAAGAAGGAAATCAGTAGCACTGGCAGTGAACACCTGTTACAAATATTCCTTTGTAAGAATGATTTAGAGCTCAAAGTCTCCTTTTCCCATAAGCACAAATCCTCTGAGGGAAGGAAAGCAAGCACTATCACTAATGTGGCCGGCAAGTTTCCGCTGGAGGAAAACATTGCAACCAACGACAATTAATGACGGTTCTGCAAGCACAATCAGAAGTTGTCAAGAACCTGTAGAATGCTGTGCCCTGTTGGCAAGTCTAGTATGCTGAACCCACAAACTAAAAATTATTTCGCTGTGCCGGTGTGGCTCAGTTAGCTGGGCATCGTCCCATGCACTGGAAGATTGCCGGTTCGATTCCTGGTCAGGGCACATGCCCGGCTTGCAGGCCCAATCCCTGGTAGGGTGCATGCAGGAGGCAGTCGATCCATGTTTCACTCTCACATGGATGTTTCTCTCTCTCCCTCTCCTTTCTCTCTCTCTCAAAAAAAATAAAATCAAAAATAAAATTTCAACATTCCTCTATTTCAGACAAAAGATCCTTCTCCAGAAAGCACTGCATCACCCAACAACTTCTGAGAAAGAGACAGAGAGACAGACAGACGGACAGAGAGAGACAGTGATTCCAGAATTCACAGTGCAAACTGTTAAGAAGGAGGAATGAGGTTGTGAAGTTCAGATAGAACTAATTTCTTTGGGTTTTGCAAAATTTCAACTCTCAGCATTTCAATCCCAATTCTTAGTAGTTCCCCTTTAAAACAACAAGGGGAGAGGGATGGAAAGTTTTTCTCAGAAATGGAAGGTGGCTCAGACCTGAGATAACTTATATACCCATGTGTGATATCGATTACAGGGGAGAGACTTCAAATGCATGGTTCCAGTGACCAAGGCCACACACAAATACACTCAGGAAAACAGCAGCTGAGCAGAAGGTCTCATGGGTACACACCCTAGTTACCAATCAGTGACAAAGTCTGGATATCATCATAACACTGCATAACCAGCCAAAAATGCCATGTGATTTCTGGCTCTGCCATTTGCTCTGTAACTGCTCAACTGTATGAGCCAAGCAAACTGCCCAGTGGAGTTCTATATTTGCACAATTATAACTATAAACAAGACTAATTGTTGAAAAAGAAATGTGAGAATCTATAGGTTTCAAGTAGCTATTGATCCCTTTACTTTTTTTTCCCATCCTCACGGGAGGATATTTTTTCCATTGCTTTTCAGAGAGAGTGGAAAGAAGAGAGAAACATCAATGTGAGAGAGACACTTTGATTGGCTGCCTCCTGCTGCGACTGAGGTATGTGCCCTTGGCCGGAATTGAACTGGGACCCTTAAGTCTGTGGGCTGATGCTCTGACCACTGAGCCAAACCCGATAGGGCCCTATTGATCCCTTTAAAGTATCACCATGTCAGGTGATAAGAGGTCACACGTACCTCCCCCACCCCCACCTGCACTTAAGCGCCAGATTTATTGAGCCAATTAAGCAGAATTAAACAAGGGCTCCAAGGCTGCCCAGAGCAGAAGCAGATATAGCAAAGCTTGTCACAGCTTCCCCCCCGGCACCCACTTTCTCTAACATGTACAAGGAGATGATAACCCTCTCCATGGAGGCACTGTCCTGCCGCAGTTTAGAAAACAGACAAATTTTTGCTTTGCAGTCAGACTCCTGCACTTGGGTTTACCCACCCTCTCTGAAGAACTCATTCAAATAATCTGCATGCAGTCATTTAAGGGAAGATTTACAAAAATTGGGCTCTCCCATTTCTTGAGCCAAACTCAGCCTCAGAAGTCCACAACCTCGGCCACAGACAGAGAAACCAGGGACAGCATCCAAGTGTCTCTGAACAGCACCTCTTCATCCAGTGCTAAGTGTTCCAGAAGGCTTTTCTCCCATGGTCTACCCGTGATTCTCATTCAATACCCTTTTATCTGGTTGGTGTTGATAAAGAGTGTGACCAGAGAAACTTGATGAAAACTTCGACTCCCTTCCAGAGCGGACCTGTCCCTAATCAAAGCCTGTAGGAATGGATTTTAGATTTGCACCCACACGCCCCAGCAACATGGCCTTTTTCCTTTACAGCTTTGACTCATTTTTGACCCCAAACTTTTGTTTATATTAAGTGAACTTTGCTTGCAGTCACCTTTGGTGAAGACCAGAGATTCAAGTTAAGTTTTTTCATGTACCAAAATACAATAATCCAAACTGCAGTTGTCACGCCAGCCGCCTCACCTGTCGCTAGCTGAACTGGTTCAGTTAAGACCCCTTCCTACTTGGACTTCTGACTCTACTACCTTCCCCCAAAGAGATAAATAGGGCAAGACAGGATGGCCTCGTGGACTTCAAGGGGAATCAGGCAAAGGGGCATTTTAACACTTGGCAGGGCCAACCTTCCAAGTGGTTGAATTCTCCTAAACAGAAGAAGGGATGCTTAAATAAATGTTCCTTTTACCCTGGAAAGTCAGTCCTCTTAAATAAATTCAGATCTAGGCAATGATTAGAAGACATGTGGCTGAGATCTCCGTGCACGAATCTATCCTCTCATTAACCTGCTGGGAGACTTTTCACATCACAGAACTCACAATGAGGCCTGCCTCTCAGGCCCCTGGAAAGACT